CTGAGCGCGCGAGTCCCGAAAAGCGGTTTTGGTTTTGCAATTTGGCCTCTGTCCCTGCCAGATGCCAAGGTGACACGGCTATGGAGTGTTACAAGAATTCGGAGTAAGCAAGAGGGTCTCACCAGTCCTTGGTGTCGGATGGTCAGGGCAGAGAGGTGGAAATGATCCATTTGGCTGAACCAAAAATAACATACAAATGTGTTCATTCTGCAGTATTTTATAAAGTTACTGACCACCGTAGGGATGAGCACAGTGGAGGATTTGCCAGTACCTTCCAGAACATCAAAATGCTGCATCTCTACTTGTCAAACATCAATGTAACTTTAGTCATAGGGCTTTAGACATTGTTTCTGCGAAAGAGGAAAACTCAAACAAAACCATTATGTACAATGAGAAAGCACCGGCACCTAAGGAGGGTTCCATGTATAGTCCAATTGTTCCCCAAGTCTGTTAAAGCCTGTGCATTGACAGCCTTCTCAGATCAAGTTCATTGTCAAAGCCTGTAATTCTTTCACCCTCCCTAACTTTCTATTATTCATGGCTGTGATGAACCCTGCCACAAGAAATAGCTAAACTTGAAACTCTTCTGCTTCTACCATCTTCTACTACCTTCCAGAAACCTGAACAGCCAGTTCTCCTATTTTTAAATAAGCAGCTGTTACAACACTCCCATTTCCTCTTAGGCATCTGCTCCAGGATTATTTTCTTTCTTTTGGCCCTGATTTGCTTGCAAGGTGTCACAGAATCATAGATTCTATGTCTGATTTTCAGTTACAGTAACTTAACTAACCGCCAGAGAAACAAACATCTGCTTCCTTAATCACTATTCTATCTTAAATCTTGACCCGAAAAGCTTCTCTACCTCTGCTGTCTAGTATTGATGTTTAAAGTCACCAGTTCTATTACACTATGACCTTTCCTGCATTTTTTTTTTAGCTATTGTCTTTGGCAAGAGAGGAAAATTTCTTTCCCCTGAGGAAGGTGACAGAATAGAAAAGGAAAATACTAGCTTTAATGCTGATGACACGTGTTGTGTGCCGTACATTCTTATTTCTTCCTATCAAGGCCAGATTACAGGTTTAAGTTATACCACCTCTAGCTTCAGAACAGCAATGTGAGTTTGTGAACCTAAACAAGTTTATAGGGCTCACAGGGGACTGTGTTTTTCAGTCTCAAGATTAAGACCAGCATGGTGTAAAGACAGGAAGAAGCTAGCTGAAAAGGAGGATGGAAAGCAAGCAACAGTTGAGAAGAGACTCCCACTTCAGTTTTACAGAGAAGGGTAGATGTGAAGGACACTGCTTCTGCCCTTGTCTTCTCAAAACAAACAACTGCAGTATTTGATTTTACATTACGATGTTATTGTTCTACCTGTGTCTATCTGATAGACTACTGAGAAAAAAAACAAGCAATAGCAGCCCTAGTAATGTTTTTATTTTTGGCACACTATATTCAGCAGCCAGTTACAGAATTGGTTATAGGGCAGCAACTCATAATTAGACAATTATGGAGGGGAAAACCCCCCAAACCACCTTCTGCTTTTCAAATAACAACCACAAGAACACTGAGAGCGTATAGGCTGCAAGTATTTTTTGAGGAACTTCTATTACTAAATCAGTATCTTCAAGCTTTGCTTAGATGACACCATGTGCATATATGTTTATACAGAGAACTTGGCCAACTCCTGCTTTGACAGCTAGAACAGCCTTAGTCCTTGCTCTCTCTACATAGCCCATTCAGACTTGTTAAACACTTTAGCACAGAACTATTGTACCTGTTCACTTGAAGTTTAATCACTCTTTTCTTTTTCCTTTTAGGTTTTAAATACAATCAAGGCAAGGATTCTTTTAACTTTTTTTTTTTCAGGCTCACTACAACTCCCAGTGGTTAAATTTAAAAGAAGCAAACAAACCAGTCCTTTGCTTTATGTAGCAGCCTGTGCTAGGAGGTGCATGGATAGTATGCAGTAGATCTAGTGAAGTTCCATAGTATGGGACATGCCCAGTTCACATAGCCACTCTTCAGTATCAGATTCTTTGCACAGCAAGGTACCTCACCCTCACACAGTACCTGCTTCCCTCCTTCCATTAACACCTAAAATCTAGTCATGATACCGAACAGCACTCTCATTGACCTTGAGGTAGATGCTATTAGTCCCATTTTACAGATAGGGAAATTGAGGTAATCGCAGTAATGGCTTGTCCAAAACTGCAACAATAGAGCCAGATTTAGAATTGGAGAATTTCTACTTCAGTCTTGTGTGTGTGGTAACAAAATCATAGCAACAAGAAGCCATGCTCCATAATAGCAAGTCTTCTTTATTATTATTATTTCTACAGACTCCAAATCAGATATGCCAGCAGCAGTTTTTGCTTTATACCAAGAAATGTGAGATTCTAGATGAAATACAGGATGAAGAAATGGTGGTAGAGAGTAAGACAAAAAGCCAACCAGTGATCAATTCTGTTTAATACTAGGAAAGCCAAAGATAAAGAGACACTCTTCAGACCAAAAAAAGTATTAAAAAAAGAAAAAGAAAAAAGAACAAGACTTATTTTGGAAATACTTTTAAGCTGACATTATGTTGGTTTTATTTCAGATTTCACAAAAGAAATACATTATAAAACTAAAACCAGTTAACCCAGCCACTATCAACAGAGGATGGTACAAGCAAAAGACACTAGGTCAGAACCTGCAGTGGAAAGCCACCCATTCTTGTCACTGGAATGCTCCTGTACTACCAGGATACTTCATTGCAGGATGAGGATGGAGAGAACTGGGGTTTTACAGCAGTTCCAAGAGGCACAATAGCTCCTCCTAGTTGGTGCTTTGTTGCTACCCAGGTCTCCTCTGTATCATAAGTGTAGCAAGGATTTACTGATTTTGGAAAGGACAGATCCAGCATAACAAAGGCAAGAAATTTAATTGAATTTTATGCAAGTTTCCTTTAAAAAGGTACTGTATCTTAAAATCATACCATCAAATAGATTACTTAGCTAACTTATGTGGGATCTCCAGTCTCATTACTGAGAAGAAAATGAATACACAAGGCTTAAGGCAAGCCCTGTGCTAAATAAAATATAGAGGGGCTTTGGGTAGATGCTTGTATGTTTGCCTGAGTTTCGGTTATTGGAGAGCAGGGGTAGGAGGATTTGTTCAGTTATGGTTGAAAAATTCTATTTCCCCCACCCCATTCCAAATGTCTGGTCAGGTGGTGAGACTGGAGGTGGGAGGGAATAAAGGTAAAGCAATAGGCTTAACGTTTTACTAAGGTTCTGATACAGCAGAGCACAGAACCTTGCACAAATATAAACAAAGTACCTGCCTAGGGACACAGCTTTGCCTGTTTTTAATCACACCCACATTAAGGCTGTTCAATACAGTAGCATCTGTCAAACCATCCACTCTTCTCCCTGCCTGCCCCCTCCTTCCCCCAAGAGTGGACAATGGCAAGAACCCTCCCTTCTACCTTCTCCTTTCTAAACAGGGCAGGGCAGTGGGAGAAAAAGAAAGAAAGAAAAAACAACAACAACAAAAACGCAACAAAACCCCCCAGACTGTTCCAAAGATGCACTTTGGTTTAAAAAAAAAAATAAAAATGGGCAGCTTCCCCTTGTAGAATAAACTTTCCCCTCCAAAAAGGGATGTTTCTTTTCTCCTGTAACCCACGATAAATTAAAACCAAGTAAGAAGTCTCTGGTTTGACACAATAAATACTTAGAATATATCAAATTAAAAAAATATAGTTACAAAAGCCTCAACGGAATTCTCTTTCTGACCTAACTACAGACAGATTCTTCACAGACAAAAAGCTATCTCCGAAATCAGCTGCAGCTTCTCTCCCTGCTCACTGGGCTTGGTCAACAAGTGCCATCACATACCCTTTGGAATACTGTTAAGACAAAACAATATAGAGCACAAGAAATCTACTCCCTAAATTTGTTTTTCATACTGCCAAGGGTGTAGGAAGCAACCATCGGTGGGGGAACCCTCATATCAGTGCACAGTGACAGAGTCACAGCACTAGAGTAACATGGACAGGGATACTAGGGGAAAACAAAGCATAGGAAGGGAAGGAGAGAGAGAGCGTGTGCCCCTAAGAGCTGGGAAAGGAAGAGATAAGCAAGAAAGAAAGACAATCAAGTTCAGCTGGACTGCCCAGTTCTGACAGCAGAGCATGAGACATTGAACAACAGGAGGAGTTCCTTGGGGTCTGTTGTAACAAGGAATGTTCTTGGCATTTTCTTCACCATTGACAGTAAGTAGGCAGAAGTTAACCCTCTCTGACACTGACACGAGGCTCTGCCAGTGAGCTGTGGATGATCCCAATAATTGATTCAACACCATCTCCCTCCAATAAGGTGCGGTGATCCCCTTCAATAATATGGACAGATACTTTCCCATCGCATACCTGCATAAATACAGAAAAGAAAAACTTTACATTCACAATTTACAACCAGCTGTCATCTAACTGTTTTGGGTTTGTCAGCCTTCTGAGTTACTCACAGTAATGCCACTATCTCTTATCAAACTCCCTGGAAAACAGCACCAGTTTTACTTGGACACGTTTTCATAGATCAGCTGCAGGGCATTGTTTGGAACCACTGTTTCAAAGCATGATAGTCTGACAGCCTAGCAGGTGATCCACTCAAATATAAGCTGGGCAGGAAGCCAACCAACCTAACAGAATAATTCACCTTCAATATCAAAGAATGATAAGTAGCTACCTTCCAAGCCCTTAGGAAAACCAAATAACCCTTCCCTCCACCCAGTCTTTCTCCCACCACCATGAATCTTCCTTGAACATCATTATGTAATTTTAATAATATACAAGTTAGCTTGGAATCAATAACAAATGTAAGTTCAAAGTCTGAAGGGATAGGAGATGCCAGAAGCAGGAAGGTAACTCTGAAAAATCACTTCCTTTTCCCTGGTATCTGTACCATAATGTAAGACACTTAACCCTTTTACATGAACAGGGGCTAAGGACCTTATCTAGACTACAGGCCAAAACCCTAAGTTTTTTAGGCCCACAAGAAACCCACATAGTAACTTACACGTGGTCCACAAAAAGTAACTAAGAAAAAGCTGCCTCTATTGTCAGAAGGCTGACACTTGCTCTTCCAAAGTCTGCCCTCATGCAGTGGACAAACTTTAGGGGTCTACAGTGAAAAGAGGAGAGTAGAAGTTACTTCTGTCAAGTTACTCTCTTAACATCTTTATTATCTAAGTCTAAGTATTTAGAGAGCTGCAAGAATCAGCCACAGAAAACACTTATCCAATACAGAGGCTAGACCATCCCTGGGCCCTCACTACTCTGAGAAAACGCCTGGAACCAATCAACTAACTTGGTTTTGGGGACTTTTAACTCTTGTTAGAGCATGATGGCTGAATGATCATTTCTTTCAGGTTGGTTTTGTCTCTTCTCTCAGTAAGGATGATTTTCCATGCTTTTCTTTTGTTCTCCCACATCTCAGGAGAACCTCAGTCACCACTGGGCCTCAGACTGACCTCTGAGAGTCTGTAGTCTCCACCCAGACCTTCTCCATATTCATTGTGAGACTTTGCCCGCATTAGTGTCACATTCCCATGATACTTGGACTCTGGTATATACTTGTCAGCAGCCTTCAGTTTGTGGTAAAAGGAAGCAGCAGCAAAGCTGAGTGCTTCACGATTGATGTTGGTATGAATCCGAGTTATCAGGTCTGCAGCAGCATTCACACGAGCCTCCAGATCTTTCAGGGGCAGAAGAACATCTAGCAGCTGGAAATATTAACAATTTTTTTCCTGCATTAGTCTCAATATCTGAAAAATCCATCTCCATTAAACCACACCTCTTGTGCAACATCAAGAGATACTAAAAAAACAAACCCAAATATTACCTTATTGTATTCAATGCCTGTAAATTGTTGAACAAAGGCACACAATGCTTCAGTCTCCAGTGCAGCCTCATTTCCTTGGGTCAGTTTAGCTCTGTAGCTCTGGAAAAAGAGAAGAATAAAATGCAAACATGAGAGGGACATGCCTGATCTTGAATGTTTGATAAAACAATTACAGAACAAAGGTGTCCTGGGTTACAGTGTAAAATGTG